CAATATAGGACAATTAAAAACAAGAGGGGCAGTTTTGACGAGAGTGTTAGCGGGCTTCCACTTTTCCTCAGTTAGGATTGCTTCGTTCATACTTTTTTTCATAAGCAGTGAGTAGTCAGCCAACTGATCACTGTTCGAATCGGGGATGACCGTGAGGGGTGTTTGCTTGGTACAACTTTGGAATTGAAATCCCATGTTCCCAGACAGTCCACGTATTCCGCGATTTCGTGAACAGCCGTGGGTGCTATATAACTGTCACTGGATAGTTTCAATTACATAACAGATCACTCTTCGTAATTAACCTTTATCAAACAATATACGTACAAATTACGGAATGGCGAAGCCAAAAAGAGCACAGACTGAGCCGGAATCTGCCACTGGAATCTAGGCTCAACTCAGCAACAAACAAGGGTTTTATCTAAAAATCTGCCATCTAAGACGTTGGACAACTCTTCGTATTTCGTTCCAAAGATGGCCAAACACCCCAATACTTTTGGAACCAGAAGGGATGGCCATTGCGCTTGATCAGCTTAGGCCAGCATGCGCCTATAATCGTATCGTATACACTCCTGCACTTCCACTCTCCACACAGGGAATGATCTATTCTTCACCCTTGGGGAGAGCGAAGCTCGCACCACCCGACCCTTGAACCAAGGGAAGCGCTCCACAGCGTAGAATATATCACCAAGCCGTCGCGACGACGTTGGGAAACTCCCCTCCCGATTCCGGGAGAGACCGATCTGCTCACCTTCCGTGAGCTCGGCAAAACTCCAGACTGACTGATCAGCTCGATCAGCCAACGGATCGACAGTAGATGGGGGCGTGGCCACAGTGTATGGTCTCGTGAGAGAACCACAAGTACCTCAAGGATACACCTAGGGGTATCACCAGATGCCTACATTTTACGACCTCTTCGTAGGCACTTAGATACGACCTCATCTCAATCCGAGATAGTCTATATAGGTTTGCCGAACTCAAAAGTTGGAAAGGGTTCCACATTCCTTTACACAACTTTAAGACTTCCAAATTTTTTTTGCAGAATGACATGACAGAACAAAGGAAGGAAGTGACAGTACAAGATATATGGCGAGGGCTGGAAGGTGTCTATAATAAAAAACTCACTAGAGCAATTGGTGTGTCGAACTTGGAACAGCGAACAAATGGAACGTGTGTTGAAAACCGCAACCGTGCCGATCCACAACAATCAGGTAATTTCATCGTGAGATTGTATCGAGAGGGTGTTATCTATTTCCGCTGTCACAGTTCGCGTAATTCAGGTAGAGCTTCACCTTTACTGGCCTCAGCATGAACTTCACGAAACCTGCAAGAAGCATAATATCTCACTCACTTCGTATGCCACTCTGGGATCACCTGGTCGAGCACAATTTATGCCAGAGTGAGTTCACAGAACATGCCGATGGATTTTGCTTCATTGTGATAGCCCAGGCCTCTGTAGAGGAGGTCGTGCTCAAGTGTCGCTGATCATGCGATGTATGGCGTTCATCCGGGCGAGACGAGGGAGTGCATCGGCGACGCCCAACCCGGACCACGCAAAACGGGGCATCAGGAAGAGTCCCACACGCTCTTTCTAGAAGGATAGGTCTCCCACGGCTGCACGGAGCATGAGGAATGCTCAGGTTGGCGAGCGAAGATGGCTCTACGGCCCCATAAGGCGTATGAAGGTTCTCTCAACCTGAGAACAGCGTTACGCTGTGGTAGCAATTGGCTTATTTGGGTCATTATGCTCAATGAAAGAAGTACCTGATAAACCGTTATGCTTTATTGGCTCCATACAGAACAAGGTTATAAGCGAGTATTCAATATGCTAAACTATGTGACCCAAAAGATGAGCATACAGGGAGAGCTTCCTAAATGACAAGGGGAAATGCAATGATTAATAAGATATAAAATCATGATAAGTAACAGAGCAAACCGGATGAGAGATGAAAGCTGTAAGGTACGCAGCCGTGGTCCACCGGTCTCATGATGAGAACGAATGAAGAAGAGTAGCCGCTCAGCAGGATGACAGGACGACGAGTGCATTGAGCGCTTGGGCCGACTGGAGCATAGTTCCCATCTGGCACATACCCAGACAGCGTACGCAGCTCATATCATCTTTATCCTGAGAAGCGCTCGACGCGACCGTAACCAAAGCTATACATCCTATTTCTGCAAAAACTGCATAGTTGGACAGTACAAAGTGAGAAGAGAGTCGTATAGGAAAACGTAGTTTCACCGTCAGATGTCGAGAAGTAGGGTTCAGAACATTGCTTATTGGCTTCTTAATACGCCCTCTAGCAAAGACTTTCGCTTCTCATCTGAACCTTGATTTAGCAGATTCTCAGATCGGCTGGGTGTATTTTTGAGCTGTGTGCCTGGTGAATGCACCTCAAAAAGCTGCACCCGATCGCACCACTTCGTACTTTCAGCTCATAACTGTTCAATTATCGAACATGAGAGCGAATTACTTACGATCTCTTTGCAGCAAATTCGGTTGGAAGGAATCTCCGAAGGATCTGGACGATGCGCATGTGAAGGAGTTGGCTAAGAAATACTCGAAAACTCCGGCTCAGGTTCGATCCTACAATTACCATACAAACGCTTACTTGCCTTTCACATAGTGCATAGTGGAGTGAAAAGCGTAATGCGGGTGAAGTTTGAATGCATGTACAGTTATAATCCCAGCGAATGAGAGAGGATGTGGATTGGAGACGGCAGCCTTTTTCAGCAATGATGCCATTCTGAGTACGCAGCAGTTAGGCTGGAGGGCTGCCTTGACTGTGCTCCAGTTCACACTCCTTGGTTCCAGTGATTCACATGAGAACATATGTCTTCTCTGAATGGACACTATTTGTGTAACTCACACTCCAGAAAGCCGGTACCTTTTCTTGTTCAGATTTTGCTGCGATACGCGATGGATCGTGGAATCGCCATTATACCGAAATCAGTGAAACCTGCACGTGTAGTCGAGAACTTCCAGGTATCTTTCCATATATTTCATTTTATTTATACGCCCTCGGTGAATGAGAACTTTCCAGTTGTTTGACTTTTCGTTGAGTAAAGACGATATCAAGCTGTTGGAATCGACAAAGCATCGCCAGAGGCTCTTCTCAGACGATTTGTGAGTTTTGAACTTGATTTCGATAGAGATGATGCAGCTACTCGAAATCTGTCGCTGGAAAGCGACATGCATCTTACTTTAACTCACAATCGAAGAAGCAAGCAACGAGACCAGCGAGCACTTGGGTCCTGCCGATGTAGGACTCAAGACCCATTACGCGGCTACCTGAGAATCCTTTCGGTGCTAACGTATTGTGGGGGGGGCATGTTTCGAAGGTAGTCCGACAGATGGCGTCTCCGTTCATCTGCGCTCTCCCTGTCACCGAAATAGTGACTCCTTCCTCCCTCGGGCTAAGGTTCAGAAAAGCGCGGACCAACAGAATCGCGGCAGCCGCTGCGTCGCTCCCTCTACCTGAATCAGCCCCGTCACCTGAAAATAGCGGCTCCGCAGATGCAGAAGTGTTCCTCCGCCACTAATACATGCAGATTCGTAGGCTTTCTGATAGCCTCGATATTAGTGGGCGTCCTTGTTCACCGATGCCTGCCTACACGCGCTGTTCGTCTTCGTCCTTTCATCAAGGTAGTGTCGGGGTTGGGAGGAACTAATTAAGGTCTAGGAGACCTCATTTGGGGTGATTTTAAATATCTACCAACTGTTATACTCTATCATAATGTAGAATTTGGAGCTTAGTCGCTTTTCGGCACATGCGTGACCTCAGCAAACTGTAGCTGGGGCAGACTCTCGGGCTATAGGTTTTTCCTGTTTCGAACCGATTTTATTCGAAATATACAAGAGGGTTTTCAAATAATTCGAAGTTCTTGCGGTGAGAGGACGCGTAAAAACGATACAACATCAGTGGGCGGTTCATGCCACCAGTGGGCGGAGACAGTGACACCGGGCGATAACAATCCTGTGGCTCCCTCGTAATGATTTTCCAAAAGGCGGAAATGATAGGATTCTATGGCTGTGGATCTGCGCACCTTACACACGCCCAATTGCCAGCAATTGCAAAAATTTGTCTTCTGGGTTAAGCCCTGCCTGAGTTTCCCAAATTTGCAGCTTTACGCTGACAATGGTAACTCTGTACTTAAGCGCTTTATATTTCAGCATGATTGGCCATCCGGAAGATCCTTTCAAGAGTGAAAGGAAGTAAGCTTGAAGATGGTACTGCACAGATTTGTCTCAGCACCATGTTGGACTGCTGAGAGAACCCCATTCCGTAGAGCTTTTGTTTCACATATTTATCAGTGTTTTACTCGGTTTTGTAAGAATGTTCAATGAATTCTTTGATGCTGAAAATGACACATACACTAATCAACAGACGCAATAGATTTCGAAGTGCCATATGAAAAATCTACAAAGCAGGTATTAGCAAAATGAGTTGGTCAAGTGTTTCGGTATGCGCCGTGCATTTCGCTTTCGCGTGCATGTAGTCGTGGGAAAGGTGATGTGCGCGACTTCGCCTCGGCGAAATCTGGTCCTTCTAATCCTGTTTGTGCCGCTCAGCTTCCTACAGATCCCATGTTGTTGAGTACAGGTCACAGAAACGAAGTAGCGCACACCAGAACACACTTTCGGACTCTTCACGTTACTGCATACAGGTACACTGCATATCGTGTAGATGGAGGAGGCACTTCATTTGAAGTTGGTGCGACCATGTTTCTGGATTTTTCGTCCACAGACAGCTGCAATTATGCCTTGGTCTAGCAAAAAAGAGGCTAACAGTTATTTTAAGTGAAAAGATCCCACAAGAAACATATTCTGCGTCATGCCCAGATGAAGTGCACCGCCACGCCCTCCCTGTCTCCTGGATATGGGCTGTGTAAAATCAAATGAATCCATGTATCAACGATTTGTCCACGTAATATCTCAGGTGTGCTTATCCGTGCTTCGTTCTTGAAGTTCTTTCAGAAACTGTACAGTCATCTCAATAAATCCTAGTTCTTACCAAGTGCGAGGTGAAGGGTCCATAGCTGCAATAGCGCACAACTTTGCCCGGTTATACTCGTAGAGGAACGGGGATGAAGGGTCATGGTCCTAGTGCCGACTCCATATTCCGCTGCCGCTACCGCACGGCCAGTCATGCGCCAAACTGTAGTCAAACGGCTTCTTGCCCCCGTTTCTGGTTGTTCTATACCGCTGAAAAAGTGTTTCGCAGCATCTAGGTATGACGCAAGTGCTGCACTCTGAAGGTAGATTTGGGTGGAGTATGAAGACGGCACCCGGGTCTCACTATACTCCAGCGCCGTTCCCGTGCACTTTTGAGCGAGGAAGTGGCACGATGCCACGCGGACCTATTCTCTCGCACTTGGGAGGATCATCCTCGGAGCTGAGTGTGCAGTTTGATTTCGATAGATGAACCGAAGTGACTCGGAAAC